CATGAGGCGGAATCTTCAACATATGGCGATATCGATCAATACTACTACTTTGGACACGTTCGGTGACGTACGATGAGAAGGTGTTACTGTTTTTCAGGAAAGTTCTAAGAGAAGAGGTTTGGTGTGCGGAGATCAAAGTGGAAAGAGATGAACAAGGAGAGATTCGTGGAAGACTTGAGTGGTGTGATTGTGTGTTTAAGGGATCGTTGTCGTCTCAGATAATCAAGTGTGTTGTTGTTAAGGTTTGTTGTCGAGTTATTTTTGTCTTATCTTTCGTTGTGTGTTTTATGATCAAATATCGGTTTTACTATGACTAATTAAGATTATTAATTATTCGTTTAGCTAAATTTAAGAAACACTGGTTGCTTTTTTTCTCTGGAAAGAAACATGATCATCTTGAAAGAAAAAAATTAATGCTGTATTACAAATAATTGTTAGAAGGGAATGAATGGAGAAGAAGGGAAATAATGTTTCCAATCAAAGTTATATAATAAACCAAACAGCCAACAACTTATATTATTATAAGTGTGTGTATGGGAAAATTATGAAGAGAAGAACAAAAAATAACAAAACAAGAGGATCTCTAGCATTTTCCAGTAGAGGATAAAGAGTAAAATGGTACATTTATTTTACCAGCGATGATGGGAAAATTATGAAAGATTACAGTAAGAGAAAACTCATAAATAATGAATCCCATCATCACCTTCCCTTGCTCTCTCCGCCCACAGGAATCTCCCGTGGTCGAATCTTGCGGTTCTGTGACCGTTATTTCAGTGCCTTAGTACCTGTTCCAGTAGGTTCTGCGTCTGAACTTGTTGTAGTCTGGCAAATCTTGGATTGGACCAATCGCTGAGATTGCTATGTCCTGCGATCATTCCCAAAAAAACATACCCTTTATCACTCCTTGAGTTTTGTTACTCTGTTTTTCACTTTCTTGGTTTTATAGAAGCCAAGAAGATAAAGAGAGGGAGATATAGATCTAACTTACCTTGTCATAAATATATTTGTTGGCAACACGTTTAACCGTGCTGGCATCGACAGCATCGATTCTAGCAAAGAGTTCAGCGGATGGGATTCTACGCCCGTAGGTCAGCAGCTGCAAATAGCATAAGAATCGAGGCATTTTATAACGAATGATTTTGCATGATAATTCATCAAAAAGGCAGAAATGTAAGCACCAGCTAGAAGGAAAGCTAAGGTTTGTTATCTTTGACCATTGCACTTAAATTTTACAAGTTCTTATCAAAGATGCTTAGATGATTGATATAATACCTGACGACCAATATCTTCAGCGACTGGGCTAGTTCCATCCATGTGAAGCAACAGCGATGATTTCAGCTGAAGAGAAATAAAAAATCAGTTACTACTTTAGTAGTGGAAGCTGAATCTTGGGAATGAGAGAAAAACATTTGGGTGCTAACCTGATTCCTCGCGCGTGTCACATCATCATCTGAAACTCGGTAGGCCAGCTTGGTTACTTCATTCATAATGGCATATGATAAATCATCCAAGCAATCAGCCTGAAAAAAGTATTTTACAATAAAATGTTAGATTTTTATAAAGGCATGTCACATGACGGAACCTTTGATACGGAGAAACTCAACAAATATTCTAAAAGCTAAGGAATTATGGGTTTACCTTAGCAACTGCATAAACACCAAACAGTCCAGTATCCTTGTAGTTGGTGTTGAATGCCATTATGCTTTCCGCTATTTCATTAATGGCAACCCTCTGGGTCAGGGCAGAACTGCGCATAGACATATAATATTCATCAATATATAGCAAATAGAAGATTTTTTTTTCTTGAATCTTTGGCAAGTACTATAGCCAGAAAGAAAAATCTCACCCCATGTGTTTGCCACCACCAACATTTTTGTTCCATGAACCCAACATAGTTTGCATAACCATAAGAGCAACAGAATCTGGATCTGTCCAAGATGCTCCCTCAAAGGCAACAGCAAATTGGGCAAGGGGTAGGTCATCATCAATCATTCGGACCTGACAAGAATTTCAATGGACTTAGAAATTTAGAACGAAGATATACTGCATAAAAAACAAGAACAATCAATCATATGGGTTGTGTCTTTACCTCAGAACCTGTAAAACAAGCAGGTTCTTTGGCAACTAGTTGAGCAGTAGAGGTTGGATCAGTTGACAACTTGGTAAATAGCTTCTTCACTTGCTCAACAACTTCCTCATGCTTGACAGCTCCTGAAGCAGCAATCACCTGAAAATATTTTGCATAAACCAACATAAGAATTCAAACAAATTCAATAAACCGAGAGCAGAAAACGATTAGAATTAACCAAAAGTTATACCATTCTGGAAGCTGTGTAGTGAGTCTTAATGTAATTCTGCAGATCCTCCCTGGTGATCGACTTGACATTCTGAGCAGGTCCCAGGATAGTTCTTCCAAGAGGTGTGTATTGGAATGCAGTTGCATGTAAATGGTCAAGAACAACTTCATCGGTTTGTCCCTCAACCTAAACCAATTACGATAAACTACAGCTTAGTGTGTTATCTAAAACAGAATGAAAACACAGCTAAATCTAAGAAACACATAAACCATTAAGCATAGCACCAAAAGCTCTTATATTTCCTAATCCAGAATTCACAATATAAAATTTACGTCACTACCAACATATGACTATGACAATAAAGCCAGCTTAATCAAGAATGGAACAATAAAGTTTGAAATTTTAGGCACTTGGAAAATTGAAGCTTAGAGTGTTTATCTCTACCCGAGTGACGAAACAGAGACATACAAGAAACGAAGGCCTCACAGATTACTCAGTATACACATAAACTATGACAAAGCCAATAAAACCTTAAAATGAAAAGGATAAATCGACAACAAAACAATAAAGTTTGAATTTTAGGCACATGGAAAATCAAAACTGAAGCTTCGAGTGTTTATCTCTAGTCGAGTGTCGAAACAGAGACATATAAGAAACAAAAGCCTCACGGTAAAAACCTTAAATTGACAAGAATAAATCGAGAACAGAACAAAAAAAGTTTGAATTTTTAAGCATACCTCTTGCATTTCCCTCAGGATCACATCTCGTTCTCTGTTAATTCTCGGTTCCTCGAACTTGGAATTCTGCAAAATATCAGCCAACACATCCAAAGCCTGGTTCACATTCGAATTCAACACCTTAGCATAGTAAGTCGTCTGTTCCCTCGATGTATACGCATTCAAATGACCTCCAATGTCTTCAATCTCTTCCTCCAAAGCTTTCACCGTACGCCTCTCCGTACCTTTGAAAATCATATGCTCCAGAAAATGAGCAGTCCCGTTCGTCTGATCCGACTCAAACCTCGATCCAGCGTCGATCCAGACTCCAACGGTGGCGGTCTTAGCCGAGAGATTCGATTCAGTAGCGACACGTAGACCATTTGGTAAAGTCGTGACACGAGTCTCCGGTGCTGATAAGATGTGATTGTGAGATGCGAGAGTCGGATGCGGCGATGCGTATCTGAGGAATCTCTGATCTGGGTTCTCGAGCTTCTTGATCTTGCTTTTGATACTCTCGGCGGCGCGATCGTATGGCATGAGAATCGACGGCGTTGGGGATTGAGTCGCCGGAGATGCGTAAGACGCCGAATCGAGAGCTGAAACTGATGAAGAAGAACGTATCGCTTGATTCAAGGCGAAACGCCTCTGAGATCGGCGAGCTAAGGATAGTAGATTCTTCATCGCCATTGCTGATGATGACCT